GTTCTCGACCCCGCACAACATGATCTACTCGACCACCATTATGGTTACCGCCAAAAAAAAAAACGGAGGTAAGAAAAAAAACGGTAACCTGGTTGCCGAGTTCACAAAGTGAATTGGCTTGTTTTACAACGTCTTTGCCAAGCGACGAAAACCCAATCCCGATGGCAAACACCGGAGGGGGCGGCTTGTTTTACAACGTCGTTGCCAAGCGACGAAAACCCAACCCCGATGGCAAAACACCGGGGGGGGCAAAGGGGGGAGGGGGGGGGGAACATATACCGTCGAAAAACACGGCAGCTACACCCTACCCCATAAGCACGTTTGCCAATCGTAATCTAGGTCAAAGATGGCGGTCGCTGGAGGCAGAGGGGGCTCACACGCTCACGCACCAACTGTGTAAGAACGTCTCCGGGGGAAACCTAATATATTGCTCGCCGCGAGCACAGCCGTACTGCACACCTCCACCAATCGGCGACGAGTCCCCCCTTCGAGAGATCGAGCACTCGCCGCTCGCGCTCCTCTTGAAGGTAATTGCAAGCACCTGGCTGCTTTGCCTCTGTCTCTGTCTCTGCCTCTATCTGTCTGTCGGTCTGTCTGTCTGTCTGTCTGTCTGCCTTTGCCGCTGTCTCTGTCTCCCTAGTTCTCTCTGTCTCTGTCTCTGTCTCTGTCTCGGTCTTTCTCTCCCTCTCTGTCTCCGTCTCTCAATCTCTGCAAGGTGTTCATCCGACGTCCCACTACTCTGCGGAGTGTCTCACGAATGACAAGCTAACAAACACACCCTTGGACAATCTAATCTTAGACTCTTCTCTGCGGATAGCGATGGATTCGTTGCGTCACATCCTATGAGATTAAATAAACAAAAAACTGGGAGGTAAGAGCTTCATGTGAGAAGAATAGAACCTTGAGAAACATGACCACAACAGCAGCTTTTCCACCTTCGACCCCTGCACCAAAATAATTGTATAGGAGCGGCTGATTCGCCGGACAGAGAAAATACGAAGATATTGCTGGGTTTTCGGGGCTTCGACAATTGATGTTACGGCACACAAAGCAACGCCACACGGCACACACTGACTGTTCTTGCAACTGGTGGGCGCGTTCGGTACTGCGTTCTTGAAGGATGCCACCGTCGCTGTACAGCGGCACGAAGCCCAAGGCGAGGCTAGGGGCAAGCCGTGCACATGGGATTGCGTCCGTAGTATTGTACTAGTACTGTAGGAACAGCAGTGCCTGGCTCGAATCCCAAAGTTAATGCAACCACATTCTTATCCCCACCCACCACCCACCGCGGCAACAGGCATACACCGCCGGTTTTTGTTTTTTGCCGAAGTTTCATGCTCCCCCTTTGTTTCCCGACCAACGAGGGCGAAGGGTATGACTCGCCTACCGTATGTGACACAAGATAACACACCCCCTGGACCGATTTTCAAAGCTCGATTACTCCACGACGAAGGAGATGCATAAAAGACGGCTAGCAAACCGCCTTGTTGAGCCTGTTACCCACAGGGGAGATATCGTTGTATGCTGTCTGGGAGACCGTGGACATATAGGTGGCTTTTCGCTCACGCTATGGATTCATTGCTAATCTATCTTAGACTTATTTCTATAGATATAGATGGATTTGTTGTGTGATATTAAGAAATAAAAAAATAAACGAAACGATACATTTTCGAAAAGCTCTGGACGAGAAGGTTTCAACGCCGCCGTTTTTGGCGCTGTGACTGTTCCTGCAGTTGAGAAATCGAGCTTCGAAAATTGGTCAAGGGGGAGTGTCATCTTGTGTCATATATGGTATGCCACGTCATCTCACATGTACCCGGCGTCGAATCCCCACCCACTAACTGCTTCGCGGCATACGAGCGATGGCCTCAGTGTAATTTCATGCCCTCACATGTTTCGCGACCCGACTGCTTCACTTTTTCCACGCTGCTACACTTGCTGAGAAGATTGAACAACGTCAAAGTCCAACCTGGGATACACGCGGATACGATCGCTAAATGGGGACACCCGTGTCGTTGTCGAGAAGCTGGCGTGTTCCACGACCGGAGGGGAGGTCGTGAAAAGAGCGACCATTGGCTTGCGCGACGTGGAAATGCTCCTCTCCGTGCGAGATCATATCCAAGACCCCCAAAACCCGTGGCGGTGATGGCAAGCATCTTCGGTGCTTGTAGAGCAGTTGAGGTCTCGGCCAAAAGAGGGGAGGGTGCGTGATGACTCGCACTGCTGCCATCTACCAAGGCATCTTATTTCCAACGGGGAGGATGATGGTAATGGTTGTCGCCAGTGGGATCATATTTATGCAGGATGATACGTCCTACATACAGCAGTAGGCTCCCGACCGCCAAAATAGACATGAAGATAGCAAGCATCTTTGGTTGTGGAACAACGGAGGCCTCGGCCAATAGCGGGGGTTATGATGACTCGCGCTGCTGCTCCCAACGTGTATAAGTTTCAACTGGGAGGATGGCGGTTGTCACCAACAGAGGGTGGGTAAAATTCCATGAAGGAGGGTACTCTGCCGCAGTACAGTAGCTTCAAACCGCCCACAATGTACATGGAGATGGCAAGCATATTCGGTGGCTGTGGAGAGGTGGAGGTCTGTGCCTAACAAGGGTGTGCGTGTGTGGCTTGTTTCTATCTTCCAAGGCATATATGTTCCAACGGGGATTACGATGGTTATGGTTGCCGCTAGTGGGATTCATTTTGATGCAGGAGGGCACCCTGCAGCGGTAGAGGCCTCAGACCGCTCACAATAGACATGAAGATGGCAAGCATCTTTGTTCGTTGAGCAACGGAGGTCTCGGCCTAAAGGGGGGGTATGGTGACTCGCACTGCTGCCTTCCAAGGTACAACGGCAATGATGGCTGCCTTTACCACCGGGGGGGTGGCATCATTTTCATGCAGGCGCGGGTACCGTACACGACGCTATATAACATACCCCCTGACCCATTCTCCAAAGCTCGATTACTCCAAGACCAAGCGGACGCATGCATGCACGAAACGATACGTTTTCGGAGAGCTCTCGACCAGAAGGCTCCAACGCCGCCGCTTTCGGTGCCCCGACGCTTTCTGATTTTGATAAAAGCTTTTGAAAGTCGGGCTAGGGGGTGTGTGGTCTTGTCTCGTGAAGTTACGGAATGGTATTTGCCCCGTCGGTCGAGTCGAGGCATTACCTATCCACCCTTTGAATCAACTGACTATCTTATACTTGCGACAAGGCTAGAACGAAGCGCACACACAAGCCTCGCTCTATCAGGCTGGCGCTGCGCCGAGCGCAGAACAAAGCAGTGAGGCAGTGAGGTGTATACTGCAAGATGCAACGGAGAGCGAGAAGACGGGGGATGGATGCCTCCGCGTCTTATATGCAAAGGAAGTTGTGGCGTTGTACATATGCCCACACATCTCGAGGGCTTTTTTTCGTTGCTCTGGGAGCTGATCGATCGTGCGTGCGGGAGCAGAGCAATACGGCGCCGCAACGTCGTTGGAGGTGCAGGAGAGCAGCGTGTCGTTTGAGCGCGTCCTGCTGTAAATTCGATTTGCGAGTGACGAGACGGCGGCGCATTCATTACCCCCAGAGATTTCCACAGCATTCTTGCACACACGTTGTAGAGAGGGGGTGGCGCAACCGACATACCATCATAGTTATATGCCTCTGAATAGCGTCACCTGCACTCCACTGCCCCCGCAAGACTTCGCAGCCTATGAAGCGGAGGGATGATCGCTCTCTCTATACTCAAACCGCACAGCAAAGATGGAAGCTTGGTCTTGCATGGTAGCGACATCACCAGGATCTCTCACCTTTCGAGTCAGCCCGGCAGTAGCAAGACCTTTTCCACTCTTCCTTCCTCATTCACGGCTCCCTGATTATCTCTGGCTATCCCTAAGGAGGTATCTGCCTGTCTGTCCAACCAGCAGGTTCAAAGCTTGCGTCCATGCTGCTGGGGCCGGCGCTGGGGACCTAAACGTAGAACTCAGGGTACCCGCAACATATTTCATTCTGCGAGCCCCCTTCGGGCGAAACTTGTTCCGCCGCACCCACCGTTCTGTCTGTACCGCACGCCGTGGCGCACCGAAGCGAGGTGAGGCCTCCGATTGGCACTTCGGGAGGGATTTGACGCCCTTTGGTTTGAGTCGCTCGTGCTCGGGGGAAAGAGACGGGCAGAGCTAGTATCGGCGTTCGAAGCTCAAATTTCTGTGGTGTTTGAAACACAGATACGTCGTATTAAGACAACAGTCCGCAGTGGCAGCAGGAGCCTTGTCACTAGCTGCTGTGTTCACTTCCAAGGACGCATACCAGCCCACCAACATCGCTCCTCCAAACCGACAGTTGTTTTCTCCCTGACATGGCTGTGACTACCGCGTCGCTTGCACACTCCCACCCCACCTTCCACGCACAGCAGTAATAGGAAAGATGCATGTTGTTATTCTTCGAAGTAATGGTTGTTGGACGCATGCGATGCTGCGCATGTTCTTAATTCACAAACTCCGACTACTCCGTACTGGATAGCAGTAGAGCCCGTAGCCACTTACAGCAGCACCAGCAGACGACACGCAACCAGCTCCGTTGACAGCAGCGGGACCGAACGAAATTCAGTTGACAACAAGGTGTGCCTACTGGATCGCCTCTGTGTTGCAACGGGCGCGGGGGCACAAAGTATCGTCAACATCCGGTAGTGTGTCGAGGCACGAAGTAACGTCAACATCAGGTAGTGTGTCGAGCAACAGTCGCCCTTGAACGCGAAGATACCTCCTCTGCTCCGCACGATGGGGAGACGTGCTCATGTTTTGCCTGTATGCGCTGTTAGACCTGTGATCACGCGTCCTCTGGAGAAGACAGACGGGGCACTAGCCCCACAGGATCGCTCGCTGATCCGCGCGGTGGAAGGAGGGTGCACTCACTTGAAAGCACGCCGTATTCGGCAGACCCACAGACGTCGCATACCTACGATGCCCGGACAGAGCGATACACCGGCGTTTCGCCGACCCAGGCTACACGCTCGAGGGCGCACTCACCGCAAACGCACGCCACATGGTGGGTTAGGGGTGGCGTAATTTTGAAGCACTGCCTCGTTGCTTTTGTGCACATTTGGTTGTGTCGCCCCCCCCCCCCCCCCCCCCCCCCCCCCCCCCCCCCCCCCCCCCCCCCCCCCCCCCCCCCCCCCCCCCCCCCCCCCCCCCCCCCCCCCCCCCCCCCCNCCCCCCGCCGAATAAGGGGGGCAATATGGCGACGGCGGCAGCAACGGCGACGGCTACGGCGGCGGCTACGGCGGCGGCGAATGCGGCAAGTGAAGCGGAGGGGGAGGAATGCCCCCTGGCGGCCATCTTCTATGCCGAGTTCGACAACGACAAGGGCGGCAAGATCCTCCACCAGTACCCGCCAGAGTGAGCTGTTGATCGACCGAGTGGTGATCATGGTGGATGTGGATGATATTTAGCGTTCTTTTTTTCACGAAAAGGGGTTGCTGCCTGCTGACGTTTTCGCGTGAGATCGGCGACAGATCTTCTCATCATAACCACCACCATCCTACCCATCCAATCGACGACCGCTATTTTTAGCTTATAGCAGCAGTCAACACGCAGCAGCAGCACCACCACCACACCAACAAAAAGAAGTAGTAACAACAACGACGACCGCTATTAGCTTAAGATAGACAGTATTGCAGCAGTCAACACGCGGCAGCACCACCAGCAACAACGAAAACAATACCGAACAACAACATCAACAACATCACCACTACAACTAACAACGACCTCCCCGCGCCCCTCTCCCTTCCCGCAACCAATCCGAAATATTGCGAGAAGGAAATTCACGCGGGCGCACTGGAAGATGCTCTCCTCGCGAATAATCTGCGACAAGGATTTCTGCGGAAAGGTTTCTATCATCGACTCCATGGCCATCCCGTGGACCCTCGCCTCCTTCCCCTCGTCGATCGGCGAGGAAGGGCTCAAACAGGTAGGAGGGTGCCTCATAAGAGATGGCTCCAATATAAGAGGGTCGAAATCGGTCGTCATGGATCCGACCCGCTGTAGCATAGTTCGGAAACCCCCCAGCATGCCTCGATCACGCGGTTATATCACCGTGGAATACGGGCTGAAGGCGGGACGAATCATCATCACACAACGCCTCGGAGTCTGCCTCTTGCGTGTTTTAGACAACCTGACACCGAAGACAGACGGCGCCGCTGGGTCCGTTTGTGTGTATTGTCCCGAACCAGTTCGTACGGGTTGTTGGCCGCTGCTGAAAATTAAAGAACGGGAGCATATGTATTTTCCTTCTTAGGTGCCATTTTTTTTTTCGTCCCGGACGGTCCGTCCCGGACGGTTGTTCTTTCTACGATTTGTTTTGTGGTTTTACCCGTTTTGGTGATATGCATACTTTGCCCCTGACTTTCGTTTTTTTTCGCGTGGTGTTCGTGTGCGCTTCGGCAGTACAATCGGAATGTCTTCATGTTCAACATAAGCTTCGTTTTCAAGAAGGGCCACGCCCAGGCGGTGAGATACACGATTTCGTGCAATTTTTTTCTTCTCTTCCGCGTGGATGTTCCCTGCGTGTTCCCTGCGACGAAGCGACGCGAACATGCCCGCCCTATGCGTGTCGGCGTTATTTTCTATGTTTCCGTCCCATCGTAGTCAATGGTCTAACAACAACGGCATGCAAAACATGAGTACGCCCCCCCCCCGATCTGTGCTGAACGCCAGTGTATACACACACGTTTCGGTCTACGATTGACTCGTCGGCATCGGTCACGCTCGAGAGACTCCCCACCTTTTGCTTTTGCGGTGCTTTCAAAAATGCTTGTTGTCGAGCGCGAGACGGGTTCACAGCCGTCCCTTGACCCTCTTTTCGTGTACGTGTACTCACGCACGGCCGTGCGCGTGGTGCGTCTCCTTGTTCTTTTTTCGTGTTGGTGAAATCGGAGCGGGCTGAGTTCGGTATACAGCACGAGACACACCCCGCCCATTGCCGTATTTGCATAGTTTTCATTCATCGCTTTCTCCGGTGTTCACAGCTTTTCTGCGGGGCAGGATTACCAATCCGTACGTGTCTAGAGGGAAAGGAGTCAGGCTTGCAGTGACCGAGCGAAACAGTCCATCACCTGAGGTGGTTCGAAAAATGTTTCCCTTAGAGGCTCGTGCGGGCGTTATTGTGTCTCTCTGTTGCTTCCCGGATGCAGCTTCTTACCGGGGAACAGTTTCTTCCCCCGAAGATGGCTTCAGCAACAACCACAACAGCACCAAAGTGTTGCTTGTTGCCATCTCTGCTAGCCCTTTCTACCGTGAGAGGTGTTTTCTCCAATGCCGACCAGGCGTTGGCGTTTACGCGATCGAGCGCGGGTGGCAAAGCGATACGCGTTGAGCGCACTTTCGTGGTCGAGGCGGTGTTGTGTGGGTGTTGTCACCCATCCCCTTCCCCCACGAAAAACCTTTCTGGTTGACCAATCAAATTGAAGCTGGTGCGGAACCGCCCTTGTGGACCCCCCCACCTACCACACCCACTCCACCCTGAGATTGACCCTCTCCCGTCTGGTCATCGATGATCGGTCGTGTGAGAACAATGCTCCATCCTTTCGAGGACGCGTTGTCATTTCGTCAAACAACGCAGAAATCCAAGTCGGTGAAGGGGTCGGTGGCGTCCTTTCAGAAACACAAGGACGAATTCAAGACTGATTGCGATGCAAGAAACTGTTTGGTGTGTAGAACATGACTACCCCCCCCCCCCC